ACGTTCGGGTGTATAATTGGTTGTATATATGTACATGTACATATTAACGTATACGTTATAAAATTATTGAAATCTGATATGTCACTAATTTCGTTAATTAAATACGAATATTAAACATATCTTTGTTAAGTTGGGTTTTCCTATTCGGAAACAGAATGACCGTCAGATTAGTCCCAATAATTAAAAATCCATAATATGATATTTTACTACTGCGCGGAACGTAGCCCTCATTCAATAATCAATCACTGAAAACAATATAAAAGAGACTTTCAATGATACTTAAAAATTCTTGGGCATGCCAAATATTCGTTTAAAATTCAATTAGGATTCGCGAATTTCTGTTACAAGGTTGATGTCACTGTTAAACGAAGGCTATGAAAAAATATAAAATGCACGGAGTGAAGTTTTGGTGATAAATAATTAATTGCAGAACTACTTAAATATGTAATTATATTAAATAATAGACGATGTAGATTCTCTTTAACGAAACACAAGGGAATTACATATAGGAATATTGTATAGAATAGAACTATAACTGAAAGTTTAACGCTTACGGTGCAGTTATGATGATATATACACATTAAGAGGGAAATTTTTGGTAACTATATTGTAACAACATTGTAACGTTTTTTTGTTACTTTAGTACGATGACGGAAAATGCCTCTTTTCCATCTACCCGCAAAATTAGTCGTTTTATTTATCAATCATTACCTTTCAAAAAAAATAAGTCACATCTGCAGAAAAAAGGTCGATTAAGCTTTTATTTCTTGTTTAGTCAGTCATCCTGAAAAAATGCTGAAGTTATGTAGCTATACGTATTGGTCATTGAACTCTCTGGTATTTTTTTTTAAAGTAAACCACAAATATAAGCATTACTATGCAGTATATTTACGCTAAGTAGTAACTTAACATATGTTAACTATCTTGTATACGAGAGCGATCAATACATTCAATACCTAATTATCAGTATCTATACATTATTACATTTTTTATTGAAAATCATTTGGGTTATTGACAATAATTTACATCACTTAAGTCACTTAAAGTGCATTAATCGTAATAAATAAAAATTAAATAGTAGCAGTAGATTTATTTTCTTTATATTTTGTTTATAGTTACTGAAACTTTCAAGGGTGTAGTTATTGCTATTTTATTAAAGCAAACCCAAATAGGAGTACTACCGTAGATATTCCAAAAAATATTTTAGAAAATCCATTTTAGTAAAAATCTTATAGTTTTTTATTCTTAGTTAAGCCTGGCTTCCGATTTTGGTCCCATCCTAAATAAATTAAGATACGAAATAAGAACGATGAAATCCAAATGATGTCTCAATAACATTCTTATACAGAAGAATTTTGAATAAGAGAAAGCATCGTGTAACACACTAGAACTTCTACGCAGTTGTAACAACCAACACATTAAGATTTTATCACATTGCTTCAGCACGGTTTAAGAATTATAGCTGCAGCTTGATGAATTTCTAGAAACTCTCTGCAATTCATAAATGTATTGAGAGATCAGCAGTTTGTATCAAAAGTAGCATACTGTAATAACATTTTCATAATATTATACAAATCATTCCGTGTGGTAATTTTCACTTCAGAAATAGAAACGGTTTGTATTTGTTTGTGGGTGTGGGTGCTATTAGTCGTAAAGCAGATGGGATATGGATAACAACAACCTATAAATTTTTAAATGAGATATGTGGGCCACTATGTTATTATTACGTATGATTCATGTTAATAATTATCTATAAAAACATTGTTATTGCACTTTCTAATGACAAAACTAGATGTATTATATGTAACAAGTTGCTAATGCTTATAGCTATATTTTAATCCATTTATCTCTGGTGTATGATCAGAATTCTTTGTAGGTTTATGACATCAGAAGCTACAAATTTTTGGTTAACGGTTCATGAAAACTATTTCTAAATTTCTAAATGAATATGTAAATTTATTGGTAAGATTTCGTACAAACTACACAATTGGTTGTAAGGAGTAGTTACGTAAAAGTAAAAAAAAATAGNTGCTGTTTGAAACTCGTTTGTTCCCCATTCATCGGTCTCCTCGAATTGTGCGAGGGGTGCTTCGAATTTTAATTCTGCCATCTTACTATCCCGCATGACGGCCTCCTCACAACACAACCGACCGCACCATACTGCAGCGAATCACACGGAGTCACACGGAATCTACGGAGGAGGTCGTCAGGCGATTCCATATCCCCAGCTAAATCGGTTGTCGGAGATGGAACGGAAATGAAAATGTTCCGACTTTTTTGTGATAAGGGAGGACACATTGTGACAAAAATGCAATCGTTTATCATCATATTTATAATTAAATTAATAAAATAATTCTCTAAAAATTATTAAGGGGATACAACACGAGACGTTTATCAATAAAATCGAAAATGCAAATTGTATGCAAAATAAGAGTCGATGTGGTAGAGAACAGCAGGAAAAGGAAATGAATAATCATACCATCATACGTGTTTATAATTGAAGAGAAATTGCTAATAGAAGGGGTATTTTACTTACGCATTTGCTAATGTGTGGTAATTTCCTTCGTTGTTTAAGCAGACAAATGCTATTCAACAACATTTTGAACAATTAATACCTATTAAGGGAATACGTTATTTAAATAATGACGACATCAACAGTAACATTGGTCAACATTTTTATGAAGCATTGTTAAAATACATTTAATTACCAATAAAAAGAAAATATCAGAATAATCTTTTTTAGCAGAAATGATGTTTAGAATTTAATTCTGTTTAGGATCCTCCATAGCTCTAAAATGAATGTGCTGGTCTGGTCTCTGCTAGTGACCTGGTGAGCATGAAATTTAGTGCAAAAATCGTTTCATCTAAACCGGTCTTTCCCTCTGTATTGTGCTTTTAATATCTGAAGTTTTCTTGGAAACCATGCACAAGAAGAAGCTGGTTGATACTGAAGAGCTACTAGACCGTGAAAGTCAATTTATAGTCTGCACGCAATATAAAGCGACATCGAAAAATAGACGATGAAATTATACGAAAATTGTCCCACCATAAAGGATAATGATAGAATATCACAAAATATGGAGCACGGAAAACTTAAATTTTATGTTCCACACCGGTGCTTTAGTTTATCCACTTTTATTTTAGATTAATAAATTATTAGATACTAAAATGTAAAAAAAAATTATTTTGACATCATGTGGATGAGAAAATATTGCTGAGTTCATGGTTTATTTTAAAATGAAAAATAGGAGACTAAGTATATAAAAAGTATAAATTGGTATAACGTCATATTGTTTCGGGAACCACATATGCTGAACCCATGTGGTGTGAAACCGCAATTTTACGAAGACACGAAAGCACATGTGAATCAGTTACTCCAAAGCAGTTTCAAGCAAATACAGGAGACTACTTAATAATGAGGAGTAACCCTATATTAAAATATAAGCGGAAAAATACGTAGTTTTCAAAATTTTGTATTAGAGTTAAATTATTTCTTTTTTCAAAAGAACCTAAGAGCTTTTCGAGCTTCCAACTGCTTTAATTATTCAATTTCTTGTAAAACACCACCCTTGAAAGTAATTGGGCTCTAAATAAAATGTAGTTAAAAGTTTTTCAAAACAAAACAAACTATAGAAACGATAGCAGTATTTTCGACTTAAAAATTAATTTTTAGAGAATGCAGTGTAAAATTATATTTATCACTTATTTTGAAAGGTCACCCTGGTACGTGATAACATCGTTTATTGTTAACAAAATTTGAACTGATGAATAATATAGTATGCGGATTTTATTATTAGTTTTCGTAGATATTTTTAACAGCTGTGGTAAGTAGATATACGAAGTGATATAATTTTGCTACTAGTACTAAAGGTAGTTGTTGTACAGAAATGAAGATTGATTTTCTAACAGTCGACTTTAAAGACTACATTAATACCACTAGCAAAACAATAGTACTTTCCTTACAAATATGTATGGATTAGGGAGAATTTGTTGATAGAATGTTGCTACAATTAAACATTTGTTTGATAATTTCCATGTTACTCTATGACTATTTACAATACAAACCAATATTGATTGCTTTTGATGGATGTCCTTCATTTTCAGCTCATTTATAAAAAATAATACGTATTACAAAGAACATATTTTTGGAAAGATGCTAAAACGTTTTATTTTAACAAGTTCAAAAAACCAATTATTAGATCCCATTATGAGTAGGTACATGTAACGCTCATAAATAGATTTTGTTATGATCTTAACTGTTTACAACCATGTTCTTCTGCTTAATAACAACATTATTGTTGCCATAATAAAACGAACATTCGGTTTTGTTCTTATGTATCAGAACATGTAACTATTTGTAAATCTTTCGCCGAAATAGTTTATTAAATGGTTTAATTTAAATTATATTTAGCTAAAAGTGTATTTGTGAGCTGGATATTTTTAGGACGGAAACAAACTATTGAGTATGCTAATAAGGGAGACAAGTGTAGGTACTTTTATTGTTGTTATATAATCATATATGTATGTAATGTAATAATCAATAATTGCAAGGAAATATACATAAATGGTGGCGGGTACATGTACAAAAGGTCGACTTTGTTTTCTAAATAACTACCTGTTTCATTATGAAAGTTTCATGTGAAGTTAAATGCAAGGGTAACAGACTCCCCCAACAAGATGCCAAAAGTATTGATTTTATCCAATTACCCTCTAGTGCGCAAAAGCTTTGTCGTCTTTTCATCATGGAAACTAGGTGTTCTTATTATGTGTCATTGATGTAACAATCAATTTTTTCAAAGTTAATTTTATCTAAAATATAAAATTCTTATCTACTGTTTGCATACAATAATAAATAAACTCCTTAGTCTTATCACCAACTACCAACAAACCAGTACATTCTGTTTTCATTATCGGTAAATGAGATAAGGGCACAAATAATCCTTACATTACGTGTTTTCAGGGAAATATTATAGTAAAATAATTGCAATAGGTAAACTTACTGGCATTCGTTCATTATTTCTTCCTGAGATCTGACTTGAACAGGGGCTAACTTTTCCACAGATTCCTCATAATTTCCAAAACACTTGGTAATTTTCTCGTCAAAAGTATTAACCAAATCCTCTAACGATCCGGAAAATGTTTCGGTAAAATTATCTGCAACTGAAGCCGTGTCTCCATTCTTGATCAAGGTTTTTTGATTAACTATTGCGGAATTCAAGTTATCGTTCAACAAAATATCCTCATTAAAATCGTTCAGGACGTCATTTAAATCCTTATCCTTTTTATTTTTCTTCAAGTTGATGTTGTTCAATTCCGATTCGGATTTGAGTGTAACACCGGTTGTTGCTGTTTGAAACTCGTTTGTTCCCCATTCATCGGTCTCCTCGAATTGTGCGAGGGGTGCTTCGAATTTTAATTCTGCCATCTTACTATCCCGCATGACGGGCTCCTCACAACACAACCGACCGCACCATACTGCAGCGAATCACACGGAGTCACACGGAATCTACGGAGGAGGTCGTCAGGCGATTCCATATCCCCAGCTAAATCGGTTGTCGGAGATGGAACGGAAATGAAAATGTTCCGACTTTTTTGTGATAAGGGAGGACACATTGTGACAAAAATGCAATCGTTTATCATCATAGTCCAAATAAATCATAGAATAAGCTCAATTCAAAGCTCAGCCTTTTCGTTTCTTTTCATGCAATTCCTAAACAAAATTGAAGTTTGTAAATAAAGGAAAACTGCTCAACAAAGACTGAATATTTCGAAACAATACTGTAGTTTTACATAAAACTCATGGGCATACCAAGGGGGCAAGAAAGGGGCAGCTACCCCCTTGGATTTCTAATCTTAAATGTAGAAATGTATTAATCTCTTAATTTTTGTATCAGCTTTTAATGATTCTAACATGTACATTGTTTGCTCATTGTTCTAATAAAAATCTGTAAAAAGTCGTATCTTTAATCGTAAAAACTACATTTTCTTCATACTCAGTACCTACAACAAAAGCAAGTGGTCATAGCTGAACCCTAATAACTGTTAATATTGTACTAGGAAGATAGGCCCTTATATTCCATGCCCTCATAGCAGCATAGTACAAAAATGTACCAATGTACGTTGAAGAATCTGAAAAAATAATTTACATACTTGATTAAAATGTTCGTCTTTTTTTTATGATTCTTCTACTAGATATAGGTATAAATGAGTCCACATGTAAAAAAAAATTGTCAGGCTTATTTCTGTAACCAAAAGTGGATACTGATGCTGTTTTTGTCATTAATTTTGTGAGTAGTAAAGGCAAAGATTTTGTAGAAAAATTATATTCGTTTATCAGTAATAAATTATCACTACAGTTCAAATAAATCACAACAATAACAGCATCAGTTCCATTCAAAGTTCACTCATTTCATACATATATATTATGCCAATCAGAAACAAAATTGAAATAATAATAAAAAGATATAAAATGTTCCACACAAATGAATAAGTATTTTTAATTTGTGTGACTTATTGTCCATTCAATTTTGCCAAACTTTATTTTGAGCCTACATTGGTGCTGAGTTTGTTGTTTATTTGAAATTTTATTACTATTATCTCTTGATAAAGAAGATAACTGATTTTAGTGAATATTTCGGATATTTAGGGATTTCCCGGGATTTTTCAAAACAGATATTTGTGAACTAAATTAATTACCTAATCAATAAATCACTTGTTGCTCAGATATGTACTTATCTAAACTTCTATACATATTACATTTTCATCATAGTGTGTTATATTTACAATAAAGATTCTTCTATTTTTTGCCCTTAATACTATGCTGTGTGAGTGTATAGTTTTTAATTTACAAAAAAAAAAACTATTTTATTCGCAAATCTTCACGAAAAGTCAAATTAGATTAGGGCATGAAAATTTTAGTTATAAAAAAAATTCGATTTGTGATTGTTAATCCAAATAGTGTCAATTTGTAAATTTAGATTTAGTATTAGAAATTTTAAGCAAATTTAAATTTGTCTTAGGAAAATACAATACAGCGTCATCTCCGAATGAGTAACTACAATGGATGTTAATTAATTTAATGTAATCTAATACAAAGCAGATTTCCTTTACAATTACTGTAAAATGTTCATATCTTTCCACTAGAGGTCTCAACATTACTGCTTTTAAACTTAAATCTGGTACAAACGCGCTAATTGTGTTTAATGGTAATTTGCAATAAGGGTAACAATAATTTTAACACGCTTTCGAAAAATATAGGATCATTCAAGTCAAGTATAAGGACGAACAACCCATTTTGGGTTGGAAGAAATAGACTATTACTATATAGCGTACTATGTGTACCATTTGAAGAAGCTTTATTCAGAAAAACTTTTTTGTATTGCCAAAAATGGTAAAAATACGCATGTAATAGATAACATTACATGTATTAGCCGTAAGAAGGGTAAGCGGTAATAATTTGGAAATGCTATATGTAATATGGGGGTAGTCTTAGACCGAATTTTGCAAAAAAGTGAGAGCCGAAAGAAATAAAAGCCGAACAGTAGATTAAAATCAAAATATTTTTGATTATTATAGGTTAAATAAGTGTAACATGTAATAATAACCTTAACAGAAGACAATTGATGTGTAATAAGGGACTGTACCTTCCTATCCATCTCTTTCTTAATAACTTTAAAAGTTCTTCATCTTGAGGCACTTAAACAACAAAAACTCTTTGTAATCAGGTATTAAATGTTATCGAATATATAAAGAGAATTATTTTAGAAGTATATTCCAGAATGTTCTTTTCTTCCCCTGAGAGTTTATTAAATGGTTTAATTTAAATTATATTTAGCTAAAAGTGTATTTGTGAGCTGGATATTTTTAGGACGGAAACAAACTATTGAGTATGCTAATAAGGGAGACAAGTGTAGGTACTTTTATTGTTGTTATATAATCATATATGTATGTAATGTAATAATCAATAATTGCAAGGAAATATACATAAATGGTGGCGGGTACATGTACAAAAGGTCGACTTTGTTTTCTAAATAACTACCTGTTTCATTATGAAAGTTTCATGTGAAGTTAAATGCAAGGGTAACAGACTCCCCCAACAAGACGCCAAAAGTATTGATTTTATCCAATTACCCTCTAGTGCGCAAAAGCTTTGTCGTCTTTTCATCATGGAAACTAGGTGTTCTTATTATGTGTCATTGATGTAACAATCAATTTTTTCAAAGTTAATTTTATCTAAAATATAAAATTCTTATCTACTGTTTGCATACAATAATAAATAAACTCCTTAGTCTTATCACCAACTACCAACAAACCAGTACATTCTGTTTTCATTATCGGTAAATGAGATAAGGGCACAAATAATCCTTACATTACGTGTTTTCAGGGAAATATTATAGTAAAATAATTGCAATAGGGTAAAATAAATAAAA